CTTAACATCAGACACATCGTTACAATTAACAGACAAGTCACCATGACTTACTTTCCTGTTTGCATCCAAGACACTCTGTCCCTTCTTTGACCCAGGCATTGTTGAACTTGACCCAATTCCAAAAACGTTCCAGATATTGCTTGTTCAAAGAGGACTTGACCGGCACCAGGAAAGATGAACGGTGACTATCCAAACTTTCACCAACTGTTTGAATCCGCCAGAATCTGTTTCTACCGTCAGAAACTGTCAGTCACGTCTCGTAAACCGTTAATGCCCAGCTCTTGCTACGCTCGGGCTCACGCTGTTCCTTGAAGTTTCTCAGAAACGCTTAGTAATAACGGACGCAAAACCAAAACACCGATTGGCTACTCGAGAATTCTTTATTGTTACACCAACATATAAATCAAGTATGACTAAGGTCTGTGAACAAATATTACAATAATAAATCACAATATTACTTCTGACGGTGTTTTACTGACTTCTCTCTGAACAGCGACCGATGAGACGATGACTGTCGTATTGATGCCTCCGCGAAAATTGGGGAAGTTGGTTTTGAGCAAACAACAGTGAATTGATCGTTCAATCTTCAACTATATTGACACGCTTTGCACGCGAGCTTTTCGATCAGTGCTTTACTTTTTGCTGTAATATATAAAACTCTCGTTTCTTTGTTATTGCTCACCACGAAGTTCTTGAAATTATTGAATCCCCTTAACTTTCGAACGCTTAAACCCTGGATATACTATTATTGACCACTAATACCTACAACAAAGTTATTGGACATTTGTGTCCTTTAACAATAACCCATATGGAAAATTGTATATATTATTGGATTTATATGTTCAAGTTGGTCCAAGTCAGTGAGTCCAAGGTTTTGGTATCATATTGGATAACTATGCTGAAGTATATTGCATGTTGTTTTGTTGTATCATTCCTGCCGCTTTTTGCCCTTTTTGCTGTGAATTGTTTTCGTTTTGTTGGTGCTCTTCTGATTGTTTTATCCCTCGTTATATGATTTTAAGGGGAGCAACCTAAAAGGTCGCTTCTCTCTAAACTTTATCTTAATGTAACCATTCCTTTCTCAGGCGTGAGGCTAGCAAACCCGCACTGTAAACAAAATTGCTACAGAAACTTCAGCACGATGCACCTCTTTGCACCAAAAGAAAAGGTCTGTGTGGGGACATGGAACGTCCGCACTATGTATGAGACTGGGAAAGCTGCCCAGATCGCCAACGAGATGAAAAGATACGGAATCCAAGTGCTGGGAATATGTGAAAGCAGATGGAATGGGAATGGACTCACCAAATTGTAAACGGGTGAGTCAGTGATCTACTCCAATCACCCAGAAGATAACCACACGCACACCGAGGGCGTGGCGCCTTCAACGAACTAGTGTATACAAGCACAAAGATATCCACAAGGCTACATGGGTGTCACCAGACGGGCAAACCAAAAACCAAATCGACTTCATCTCAATCTCAAGGAAGTGGAGGTGCAGCCTGCTGGACACAAAAGCAAGAAGAGAGGCAGACGTTGGCTCAGACCACTATCTCGTACAGGGGACAATCCAAATCAAATTAAAAGCTTTCAGTGAAGCAGGAGCTGCAGATAGACCACAAGCCAAGTTCAACACTCAAAAACTGAAGGACCAGGCTACAAAGGACATCTTCATTGCAAGCATAAAGGACAAAGCCGAGACACAAATCAACACCAGAGAAAAGGTCAGCGTCGAAAAGCACTGGAACAACTTGAAAATGGTGTGGAGTTAAACCTGCATAGAAGTTCTAGGCAGAAAGAAGAGACAGGACAAACAGTGGCTCACTACGGACACTTGGAAACTAATAGAAGAGAGAAGGACAGTGAAACAAAAGATTCTCCAGTGCACTGACGAGCAACAGAAACAGGAGCTGAATGCAAGCTACAGCACACTGAACAAAAGAGTAAAGAAGAGTCCTAGGGAAGACAAAAGAAAATATTATGAAACCATGTCAAGGGAAGCAGAACAAGCTTGCAGGAAAAGGAGACCTCGCCACACCCTACCAAACAACTGGGAACCTATCGGGCAAAAATTCGACACAGATTAAGCCAATAAAGGATGACAATGGAAAGTCAATCACCAAAGAGGTGGAGCAAAGGAAACACTGGGCTGAACACTTCAAAAGACTTTTAAATCGACCGCCACCTACAACGCGTTCAACAATACCAACAACGGAAGCAGAACTACAAGTGAACATCAACCCCCCGACGAAAACAGAGGTCCTGAATGCAATCAAGATGCTAAAAGACGGAAAAGCAGCAGGACCGATGGAATCCCAGCAGAAGCATTGAAAGTGGACCAAGAGACAACAGCGAACCTGATGACACCGCTACTGGAGAAGGTGTGGAAAGAGGGGAGAGTACCCGGTGATTGGAAGAAAGGATACTTATTCAAAATTCCAAAAAAGGAGAAGCAAGTCAACGCAAAAACTGGCGCGAATTATCCTCCTGTCCATCCCAAACAAAATACTAAGCCGCATCATCCTGGAGAGAATCAAACAAGCCCTAGATGAAAAACTTCGACCGGAACAGGGTGGATTCAGGAGAAACAAATCATGTATTGATCAAATCACCACTCTACGAATTATCATTCAACAAAGCTTGGAATGGCAGTCACCTCTCCACCTCACTCAACTTCATCGACTTTGAAAAGGATTTTGACAGCGCAGCGTCGATCGAGAGGTGATTTGGCAACTACTTCGCTACTACGGGTCCCATCGACTACTATACATCTCATCCAACGGTTATACGACAATGCTGCATACCGAGTAATCCACAAAGGGAAACTTACGGAAGCCTTCAAAGCGAGGATGGGATTGAGACAAGGCTGCCTACTATCACCAATGATTTTCCTGATTGCAGTAGATTAGATAATGCGACAGACAACGACCAGTGAGGAAACAGGCATTAAATGGACTCACACAAAAAACTTGGAGGATGTGGACTTCACCGATGATATATGTCTGATTTTCCACAAACTGGAAGATGCGCAAGTGGAAAGCAACAAGTTGGCAGAGGAAGCATCAAAGATAGGACTTCAAGTGAACATAGATAAAACAGAGGTGATGAAGATTCCTGGCCAACACCAAAAGCAACAACCAGAGACAACAATCAGCCAGCATAAATGGGAGGAACCTGAAAGAAACAACCTCCTTCACCTACCTAGGAAGCATCGTTTCAACCACAGGCGGAACTGACGAGGATATCAGAGCCAGAATGGGAAAAGCAAGACAGGCTTTCATTACTCTTAAGTTAGTGTGGAAGTCAACAGCACTCAGCTTCAAAAATGAGATCCGGATTTTCAACTATAATGTGAAGTCAGTCAGTGCTACCATACGGATCAGAGACTTGGCCAGCGCCTCATAAAGAGCATCTCAAACAAACTACAGACCTTCATTAACAGCTGTCTTCGCTCGATACTCAAGATCAGATGGCCGGCCAGAAAAGATCAGCAATAGGGAGGCATTTCTTGGAGCGAACCAACCAAGAACCGGTTGTGAAACAAATGGGCAGGAAGAAATGGAGATGGATTGGCTAGTCATACTCTGAGGAAACCATAAAGTGACATCATTAGACGAGCCATCGCTCGAGTGGAACCCGAAAGGGAGGCGGCGAGTTGGTCGTCAGTGCAAGGGTGACTTGGAGGAGGTCATGCGAGGAGGAGATGAAAGCATATGGGCAGACTTGGAGCGGAGTGAAAAAGTTGTCAGAAAACAGAAGGCAATGGAGACGTGCAGCTGAAGCCCTATGTTCCTCTAGGAATTAACGGATAAAATAATAATAATATAATCACTGAACAGTTGAATATATACACAGCCCCAAGCAGGAGCCACATGGAGCGATTCAATCAACTTTATGCTTAGGTATCCCTCAGCCTGTCCCAAAGTGTCGAAAACATTGTCCCCCATGGATAAGCCTGTGAATTCCTCAGGCTTAAGCATAAATGCTGGACCTCGTTTAATACGCTTGACACCTCTGAGACTAGAAAGTTATACAACCTCGCTAGGAAAATAGCTATGGTTCTACAAGCAGATAACTTAAAATTTTGGGGCAGCTGAAGAGCGACAATGATACTCTCACTTTGCAAGGTGACCTCAATAAACCACTAGAGTGCTTCAAAGAGTAGATTCTACCCATTGACGTAGCAAAATGTGTGACCATGCACATCGGGAACTCAAGTGTCAGTTAAGAACTGGAGGGAATAACACTCCAAGTAGTCCAGACTCATTTGGATTTATGTGCTACAGAATGTCATAGCTTAAAAACTACAGTACATTGCCGCGCGGTGGCTTCACGTGGTTTCACATCTACATGGCCAATTTGCAGAGCCTTTACTAGGATCACCAGAGATATGTTAACCTCTTTATATACATCCCTCGTGAGGTATATACTGGAAAGCTGTATCCAAATAACCAGTCCTTGTCTTAAGGGGGACTCACATGTTCTAGAAGGGTTCTCGGCATGACTAGTTTATCATACAAGGAAGGACTAAACGGTGTGAATCTATTCTTTATGTCACCTGAAATAACAGGAGGGAAGGAGAGTTCAAAATTTAAGGAGAATCCATATTGATATAGAGTACTGATTCTCACATAGAGGCAGAAAGTCCCAGAAACCACTCCATCGATTTGTCTATCGACGAAATTTTTGAATGAGCACGGAAATCTATTAGAAGTGGATCAATGTAAGCTTTGATCCTCAACCCACCAATTAGAATCTGAGGTCAGAATCTTCAGCATACACCAAGAAGCGAGCCCACAGAAATTCTGTTGATTCATGCTATCGTAGGAACGACATTAGATACCAGCCAATGGACTTCTACAGATATTTGTAGTTCCTTTTACAGGAAGTTATCAATGATATTATTTCGGTGTTAATATCTATTGACCCAATTGTTTGAATTCTTCACAAATGTTGGAACTGTTGAAGTATGTTTTAGTGAAGTTTTGAGTAATGCGTAACATATGAGGAGTTATGGTATGTCGACAAATGAAAGACGGTATGTCCAGCTCCAAGGTCGTGACAGGTTCCTGCGTCTACTGGTTATATGTTTTCGTTAATTCGTTTGCCACTAAAATTTAAAGGTTTTTTGGACGCTTTGCTTATTTTATAGTGTTAAGGTTAATTTTTGTCACTGGATATCTAGTAGCATATGCTAATATGAAGCTTATTTTTAGTCTGAAGTTCCCAGTTATTATGTTGGTAGTTAACGATTATGGCAAACCTGCAATCATTGAGGTAATTCACGTTTACTATGCTAATATAGTAACATTCCTTAATAAGTAAGCTCCGTAACTGTTCTGCAATTGTATGAATATTTGCACAAACTGGATTTGTGTACTGGTTTATCCGCATAATTGGCACTAATTCAGCACCTTTATATTCTACGCATTTTCAGAGGTAGATTATCAGCCTTATAATAGACCTCCTACCCAGATTCAGCATCCAATGTTCCTTTTTAAGGACCAGGGTTATTTCAGTTTACCACTGGGTTCACTTCGAGTAGGTAACTAATTATTTACCTTAAAGAGGTATTATTGATGCGTTGGTTAAATTTTATTTAGAATTGCTGTATGGTTGGCTTTTAAGCGTTGCTACGGCATAAGTATCATGCAGAACACTAACGGGACTTGTCTGTCACAGTCGATGAAGGAGGTCTTGTAAACTACCGATTTCTGTTCTACTGCCCCATTTATTTTGATACTGTCATTTATCCTAGCCCGCATGTTTTTAATATCATTATGCAGGAGAACTTTGCCGAATTCCTCATGCACTAAATCCATGATTTCATGGAAATCAGTGTTCCTTTCAATAAACGGTTGCACAACTGTCATTTCCTCTGATGATAGCCGAAGTCTAGTTACATCGGTGGACATGGAACTTGCTGTGCAATGTTGGTTATGCACAATTAGGTAGTTTGTTATCTTGTAACCTTCGAATGTACGCCGTACTGTAATTGTTGACTGACATGAAATACTTTCGAACCTTAAAAATTTTAAAATTTACACGCACGTTCCTAAAGCCAGCACCTCTGGGAGCACGTTTACCTCCAAAAGTGCATTCACACCTTACAAACTCATATCCATAGGGTCGGATGGTTTTTTTACTTGAAGTAACCCTGTAGGATGTGTTAGATTCCTTTCAAACAAATAATAAACGATTTAGTTACTACCTTCACAATTGCGTCAAAAGTTTGCTTAAATTATACCCACGTATAAAATACACAGCAAAGCATTATTTCTTGGAATATAGCCACAACAGTTGGTCTAAGCCACGTAGGAAGGTGTAGACTTCCAGGCTGGGGTCCTCGGGACGGTAAAAATCTATGGTTGGAAACAATTGGTGACATGGCTCAAAATCGTTCTCAGTGGCGCAGATGCATCCACTCCTTGTGACTTATGATCTCCAATGAAACTTTTGTTTTTCTTTATTACTCCTTTGTCTCACACCTCTGCTCACTGTTTCTATCATGCTTTTCTTGTACTTTCTTCTCTTGCTTGCTTCGCGTGTTACACGGAGTGTGGCGACTTGAACTGGCGCACATTTGTGCAAAGTTCTATGTCGAAAACAGACAGACAGCCGTTAAATCAGACAATATAGATGACACATTTCGTAAAGTAGAGGCAGTAGGAGTATTTTGTAACATCATTTAATGGTTCTAACAATTTTTTAGCGAACACAACACAATGATTTCAAGTAAATGAACAATAGTTTACATTTCAGTGCTTATGTACCGCTGTTGTGACCTGGTAAATTGCAGCTGATTTATGCTAACCTAGTAAGCACAAATCACAGGTCACTGAACTGACAACTTAAAGTGGATCAATTAATATATATATCCTAATCAAAGATATATATTAAATGTTTAGAAATTGTAGTTGAATCATGTTCGTCTAGTAAGCAAAAATGCATATGTCCTATTTTGGACTTAAATGTATCAAAATCATTATTGATTTACATTCGCTATAGTTTGGTTTGTAAGGGTTAGTTATATTTTTACGAGTTGATCACGGATTGATATCAGTTAGAGAACCATTGAAAACCAGGGAGTACTGGACAGCTGCTGTTTCATACTAGTTTGGGAATCATCGGCATTACGCCTCCACTGGGATTCGAACACAGGACCTTCCGGTTACAAGCCAAGGTCGTATACCATTCAGCCATTGTGACCTATGATCTCCAATGAAACTGTTTTGTTTTTCTTTATTACTTCTTTGTCTCACACCTCTGCTCACTGTTTCTATTATGCTTTTCTTGTACTTTCTTCTTTTGCTTGCTTCGCGTGCTACACGGAGTGTGGCGACTTGAACTGGCGCACATTTGTGCAAAGTTCTATGTCGAAAACAGACAGAGACAATGGTTCTCTAACTGATTTATATTCACCTACCAGAAATTCCTTTACATCTCAATGTAATTGACACCACTAATGCATCGAAACAGTATGTGACACTCATCAAACTACACTTACATAAAAATATCATATTATAGTAAGCCTTTAAGCTTACTGCTTGTAAATTTCCGTGTGAAAATAAAAAAATTACCGCCTTGACTTATATTTTAGACCAATAGGAAGTCAACCAAAATCTGCCTATATCCATTTTCGTCGACAAATTCATTCTGAGCAAACTGCCGTCTAGTGCACCGATAAATTTGCTAGTTGTTTTATTTATGCAATGGTGTATGTATAAGTATTCATGATCATCTACCAAAGCATTATAATGAAGGCTGGGCTTTACTCCTTTCGCCGGTTTATTCTAAAATTGCGCAAACGATGAAAGTAATACTGCAATAAGTAGTGAATATGTCAATTGAGAAAATAAACAATTAAAATAGGAAAAAGCAAATTAATGAATCAATATAGTAAGCAGGAGAGTAGTATGGGAAAAAATGTGGGTGTGGAGAAAACCATTTGATAGAATACCTAATGTAAGGGTTACATCTCAGTTTGGTCAAGGGAGCACAGTCTATGTACCGCTGTATGATTACGCAGCTACCACTTAAAGTTTTCATTCGAAGTAGCCATCGATGCTAGTAAAGAGGTTCATCGACAGCAAACATGTAGTGAAAAGAAATGTGGACGCACTCAGAAGTTTGTATTCTGTTGAACACTTCGCGAGATGCCCCGAATTCCATGATAATCGAATAGCAAAATATCCGTTTGTGTGTATGATTCTGGTCATTTTCAGTTTCATACTAGGTCACCCTTAAGTATACTGTAGATAAAGGAAAACAGATCTCATTCCTCCAATCTTTCGCCATATAGTTTACATGGAAGGCCTGGAGCTTAAATTTCTTGTCATATAACTTATTCTGTATCAGTCGACAAACTTAATCTGTTGCAGTAGCGGTTGATCGTTGATTTGCCTGAATGCCAGGCTCCTAGGGGTTCTCTGGCATTTCACGGCCTTAAACTTCTACACTCCCAGTTAAGTTGGTGTCCATAGTTGTTTACATACATTGATATGAAAAATACGTGTTTCTGATAGCTAGTTTATGATCTTGGTCTCGGATTCAAGAGAGACGCTCAATTTGACCACCTTAATACTACTGAAAATCCTTGAGGTATATTAAAGGGTATTTAGCTTGACGTCTTTTGCTGTTGACTATTTTGGTTTGCATTGTATTTAAGTGAGTGATTGTGCTGGTTTGTGTGCATTAGTATCATGCTTGAAGCTGTGAGGGCTGATGACACTACACACTTTCCGAGGCTGAAATAGGCGATGGGATCATAATCAGTGGTGTATTGACTGGAACTCGTATACCTAAGCTAATATGCCACATTTCCACATCGGAAAAGTGCCTTTGAATGTAAACACCGTATTGAGTTATTTAGTTATATCAGCACGTACATGCGCGTTGGTGGCACGGTGGTTAGGACTCTCGCCGACCATGCACATGGTCCGAGGTTCGATCCCCTGCCGATGCACAACTGATATCTATGGTCGGCCTGCAAAATTTGAACGGTTTGAAAAAATTTGGGCATTGGGTATATGATATTCATTATAATAGAGGTTTTTTGTATTTCCCAATGAATGAAAAAACAATCTCGTTTTGTTTTTTCATTCATTGGGAAATACAAAAAACCTCTATTATAATGAATACCGATATCCATGCTGAGAATTCCATACTTGTACCAAAAATACAGTGTGGAATCAAGCTGTAATCAAAAATTAAAAAAATTAGTTTGTGTCTCCGTTTCTACTTTGTCTTTCTCGTGATTTTATTTTCTTGGACACTTCACTTGACCAAACTAGTTTACATCACATTGCGAAATGGTTTTGTGCATATTTTTATGCTTGCTATTTGTATGAGACCATGTTTAAATGTCCTTTTTTACTGATCACTTCGATTTCGGTTTTAGGTGCTCTGTAATCATTTTGACTATACGGCGTAATGAAGAAAGTTTTGTTTGAGTTTTCCGAATCATTTGAGTGTGGCATACATGTTCAAGTGGCAGAATGGTTAGAATTCCCTATGACATGTACAATTTTGGAGTGTTACCTTCAAATCGCCAGTGCACATAACATCCCAAATATCGCCCTTAAAGGTACAATTCATGTTCTCCTGTTATTTTCCTAGCTTTCCAGGAAAGATTATCAGATTTCATTTCGGAAGAGAATAACAAGGATTTTAAAGATCATTATTTAAACTTACTAAGTAACTTAAAGGCGAATATATCAAATTTTGGGAAATTCTGCGCTGATTTTGATTCCCCGAAGAATAATGTAAGCAACTTCTCGTGTATACTCTTACATAGAAAGGATACCATATCATCTTCAAAATTGGCAAAACTCAATGAACAAGAAATTTTTTCAGATGCCTTTCGTAGAATGATTCATTCACCTGTCGCTCAAGACTTTATACAACTTGAGAAGTCTTTCGCTATCGCAGTTGGTTACGAACTCGATAAACGAAATGATGTCCTAAATGAAATGGATCAAAAGTAATGTTATAGTTTTTCCAGTAAAATTTCTCTGTCCATTAGAAAGTCGTTATTGACAGAAGTTAAAAAAGTCCTTGTATTACTTATCAAGTCACTTTCCTTTAGTTGCTGATTCTGCATTTGTAACTGGTATAGAAAATAATAGACGTGTCTTAATTTTCATAACGATTGAGCGATGTGTCAGCTTGTTTTATTGATGAATGACAAGCGACTGTTTTCCTTTTGTCAACTTAGGTGATTAACTTGATTTAACTTCACGTTAAGTTATCTCTAGTTGATTGCTAGTCCAATGTTTGCGACAACCTTTCTCGGTGAGATCTAATACTATGTGGAGATTATGGTTTGAACACAGAAGAGAAAACTCTCCTTCAATAGTTTAGAAATGTCTGTGTACCAAGTTAATTTGTGTAGAGATATAAAGCCAGCAATATATAGGAAAGGTGAGTGAAAATTATTGTACTTAAACCCACAAAACAAGATGGTATTCTTAGTCCCTATATTTCGAATGTTGATCGTGCTGTTTCTAAGTGTTCTGCTATCTCCATATTGATTGACGATTATTGTGTTCATCTGCGTGAATAAGTATTTTGAAGCCGGAATGTATCTCTAAAATAAGTTTATAATACCTTTCTCTAGTAATACAATGAAATTTTTGAATGATTTTTCTTACCAGGCATATTGATGAGACTGAGCGTAGTTTACAGAAACGTGGCAGTGAAGTGTCCGAAACTATCACACAACTTCAAGAAGATTTTTATCTCAGCAGAGAGATTGTTGAAAGTCATTGGGACAGTTGTATTAGTGCTTTAAAATGGGAACAACGTCAAGCGTTGAGAAAATTCGTTATGTCATTTGAAGAACATGTACGTGGTTTGCCGGAAAATAATAATCGTGCCAGTATTTCACAAACACTTTTAAAAGACAGGTATTTTAGTTTTGATTTCTGTTATTCTTAATGAATTGGGACATTATTATTTGGAGAGAACACCTTTATCTAACTACTGCCTCATGTCTCTGTCTGTGTTTTCGACATAGAACATTGCACTGATGTGCGGCAGTTCATGTCGCCACACTCCCTCCTTGTAGCACAAAAAGCAAGAGAAGAAAGTAGAAGAAATGCATAATAGAGACAGTAAACAGAGGTGTGAGACAAAGGAATAGTAATAACGAAGAGCGATATAGTTTCATTTGAAATCATAAGTCACAAGGGGTGGATGCATCTGCGCCATTGAGAACGATTTTGAGCCTCATCACCAATTGTTTCCAACCATTGGTTTTTACCGCCCCGATGACCCCAACCAGGAAGTCTACACCTTTCTACGTGGCTTAAACTAACTGTTGTAAATTTCATTGACTGGTGCCATCTTTTGGTCTGACCACCGCTAGCTCTTTTCCAGCCTTACCCTATATCCGCCAACATTACTCGTCGAGGAAGGCGATGACTAGGCATGCATGAGTAACACATGTCCTAACCATCTCAGTCGATGTAATTTCACAGCCTCGTCGATTGATTTCCCCTCCTTACCTAGCGCTCGACGCCCAACCTCAATATTGATCACCTTATTATACCACTTCACGCGGGAGATAGAACGCAGGCACTTATGATCAAAGACAGCTAGCCAGGCTTTTCATCGCTTCCACTCTCAGTGGCCAGGTCTCGCAGCCATAAAGGAGGACGGAGCGGACTGATGAGAAGTACACACGCCCTGTGGCCGATAGCTGGATATTACGTCTACGCCAGAGACGGCGTAAACTGGAATATGAGAAACTAGCCCTCTGTATCCGTGCTGAGATTTCGTCAGAGATCAACCCGTTGGGGTTGATGGTACTCCCCAAATAAGTGAAGCGGTCAACGTGCTCTGCCACTTCACTTCCTATTTCCAATCTAGGAGTCGGTGTAGTCCAGTCCTGTAACATCACCTTACATTTGGCGTGAGGGAATCGCATGCCAAACATTTGTAGATTGCAGCTCAAGGTGTTCAGAAGACTGCATTTTGTCAGCGTCCACGCCTAGCACGGAGGAGTATATCGTCTGCATATTCTAAGTCAACGAGATTATTCCCTGATGGTAGCAAGTCAACCCCTGAGTCTCATGTGGTTTCCGGTAGCTTCGGTACTTGTTTATGTAATTAGTGCATAGATGAATATTTAAGTAAGCAATCTGTTAGCGTTACAAACCGTAAATAACGTATCACACTTTTGTATTCATTAATCACAATTATTTAATAAGGATCTGTCGTCTTTGGTATAACGAGTTATATTTATTCACTGTTACTTTGAACATTGAATAAAAAGTATTGTTTCTGTGCTGAACTAATTTTCTGAATAATTTGCATATAAGAGGAGAGGAAAGACAAAATACTTAAGTGAATTATTGAATCTTGAATTGGTTTGTCTCTTTTGAAGGTAACTGTTACTTTAAAGTTTATTAACTTTGGAGAGGTTACGTTTCTACGAGTCTAAATTAATGCTTAATAACAAAGAATTCAGTCAGCTTCACTACAATATCCACTTTCAGGTTTTTAATATTTGGTATTCGTGAAGAATACTTATTTTTTTATTATAACTTGACTCCACACCGTTTTTTTGATACAAGTCTGGAATTTTCAGCATGTGATACCGGTAACCCAAATTTTGCAGGCCGACCATTGATATTGGGTGTGCGCCGGCAGAGGATCGAACCCCAGACCATGTGCTTGGTCGGTGAGAGTCCTAACCTATGTGCCGCCGACGCACAGTTAGTTTTTGATGTACAGAAAGTCTGTTTTCTACAAGACAATAATGTAAAACATGTTTGAAAATCATTCTATTGGCATATTTTGTAACCGCTTTAATTATAGTTTCAGTGCTATATTTTTATGTGATTCACACAAAAAATTTATTAAAAATAACTGTTTTCTCTTTTGTTTTAAAGTTCTTCTAAAAGGCCAAATTCTTTGTCAAACAAATCGTCATCAAATAACCATACTATTTTCAAACAGACTGAACATATCCCATTGTCAGAAACTTTTACTGTACAACTGGGACGTCAATTACGAACGGTGTTCAACTTTCGTCTAACCCGATTGGATCCATCTGAAATACTAGCAGATACAAAATTTAAAACTCAAGAAAATCAGTTGAGTATTTGGTTTTTGAAATTAAGAATATCTGGAGTTTTTTTTTGCTATCATATTACTTGTCAAAGTCCTCAAAAAGATGCTTTCCAGAGCTATCAGTAAAGTTTAAATTATCATCAGACGATTTTAAAAATAATCTACCATAAGTTCAATTTCATTCTCAGAAAAACTGGTGTGAGTTCTGTGAGCATTTCATCTTATTCATGTGGCTAAAATTCTAACATTGTTCGACATTTTTTCTACCTTTTACCAACAACTGGTTATAGTTCTGAAAATTGATTATGCAGGATACAATTTCCTACATAGGCACTTTTTCTGAATTTTTCTAAATATCGTGTATTTGATAAGCATTACAACCTTATATGAGACAAGTTTTAACATTCCGAAGTTTAGCATTTAAAAAATGATTTCTAATCTCGAAGGGTAACAAAATTGCCCTTAAACTCAAATGTTGGCCTAGTTAGTAAGTCCAGCAACAGAAGAATTCCAAGGGATGACTTCTTTATATTTACAAACAATACCACTTTTAATATTAGTGAAGTTTTATGTATATGGGGATTTGATCAGCAAAATAAAGATAGTTTCTCAGTAAATCATCTTAATTTCGAAATTATAAGTCATAAGTAAAGCATACCGCATCATCATTACGTTGCAAATATAGGTTTTCAGATGATTCCTTATTTAACTTAGGTAAATTATACTCAGATAAAGCCTGTTTTATAAGTGCTTAACGATTTCGGTTTAACATAATTCAGTGTTAAAAACAAATAAGTAAACTATAAATATTATTTGTATCGCTCTTCTAATGTTTTCACTATGGTGACGTTCTGATATTGCCTAAACTGGATTTTCACTATGATTAAAGATTAAATTTATCAAATTTCACTTCGTTTAAAGTTTGTTGATCTATACGAAGTGGTATATTTAAGTCTAAGTTTTACTTCAGTTAGATCATGATATTTACCATCTTCTCTGAGCATAAACTAGGATGACATGGAGGAGATCGTGTGAGGAAGAGATGACAGAGTTTGGCCAATCGTGGACCTAGCTGAAGAGGACGTCAGAAAACAGAACAAAATGGAGATGTGTTTTTGAAGCCCTATGTTCCACTCGGAACGCAAGGGAATAATAATAATTATTGAGCATATAATTCATAAAGTTCACATCTTGAAATCAAAAAGATGATTCATACAACTACACCTAGGTTACTGCTTACTATTTAGGCTAAAAGAATCACTAAACCACTAGCTCATTATATAATCCTGGTTACCTCCCTTCAGTCTGAATAATAATGATCACTTACATCTTCTAGAGTGTAGGCATCAGTACACTTGTATAGCGAACGTAGTTGTCAACCTGCCATGTTTTCTTTGTACACTCACTGTTAAGTTGTCATCGCTTTATAAGTTGAATTAGAAAAGATTTTAGTTACTCAGTTACTTTGGTTTCATAGGACAAATAAGACAGCTTACTTTATTCCCTACGAGATACTTCTTTCCCATTTTACCTATATCTTTAAGATAAAATCAAACACATGTAACATGGTTAGATCAATTTTCAAAGTACATATTTACCAGGTGCTCAAAAACTAAGCCTCCAATTATGTCGTAAATTTTACTGTTTTGTTTTCAAGTATCGTGTTTGGCTGTATTGATTTAAGTACTCTATTTTCACATAAAGGATTCTGATTTGAAACTCATATCCATGTACTCTGACCTAGCCATCATTCATCCAGTATGGCTCACTGCTCTTAGTACCCATATGGGAACTTGAGTCCATTCATTTATCCACGTCATTGTACTTATTCAAAAGCAGGTTTATAGTTCTGTATTTTTTTGACCTTTTTCATTTGTCTTTCAAAGTGCACTTATGTCTGTAGTGTATCTGGTCGGTGCTTAAGAAGTATATTTTAGATGACTAGTTTTTTTTTGGAAAATAAGTGGATATGCAAAATACAGTATACTAGACTGTGTCTTACTTTGATGTTCAGCATTGAAAAACATCCATTTTCGTGTCAAAAAATATAGTTCTTTTCTTCATGACAGGAAGCCGCATAAAGTAGTACATCACCTCCGATCACCGTTAAGTATAAAGCATGTCAGTCTCAAAATTCAGCTACACCTCCGTCAGTGTTCTGGTACTTTCATTCATGGCATTTTGTCAAGCTTTGCCCTTCCAAGAAACATAAATGCCGCAAGTATCAACGTTGTGGACATAAAAAGGGTTACTGTCCACCACAGAAAAACTTCGGTTAGGAACAGATGTAGTCATTTCAAGCCAAAACAATCTCCTCGGGTACAGATCATTTTCAAAACTTCCAATGTTGATTTCGCCAGCAAACGCAAGTACATTACACTATATATCAACAACAAACTTATTCGTCTTCAGTTGGATACGACATCAAATATTACCTTAATTTCCCGATACACGTGGTGCAAACTTGGGTGCCCACAGATTCTGCCGACGGAGCATGTCGCTAAGAATCCCTCTGGAGATATACTGAAACTCATGGGTGAGATAAATTGCCATATTCAGTTTGGTGAGCATGAATTCCATGGTGTATGTTATCTCGCAAGACATCATGATTTGAATTTACTCGGTCTTGATTGGTTAGAAATGCTCACTCTCCCAAATGTTCCATTAAATTTGGTATGCTTTAACATGTCACCTGCATCAAATGATATCATTTCAAGTCATGCTTTAAATACATCTCTGCTGCAACATTCGTGGCAAAGGCACTCAGCATATTCGTACTCCCCCCCTCGTATCACCCCCCCCCACTCTAATAGACAGGCTGAACGTTTCGTCAACACCTTTAAGCGTGCTTATGTAAAAGCGAAGGGGGCGAGAACAACAACATCTTGGATAGATTCTTGCTTCTTTATCGTACGACGCCAAATCCCTCAGCTCCAAGTTATTTATCCCCAACGGAAATTATGTTTGGCCAGAAAGTCAGAACTGTCCTCGACTCAATTAAGCCTAGGCGAGTAAAGCAGGGCTACAGAAATACAAAAATGAAAAACCAATTCAATCGCCATCACGGAGCTAATCGTCGAGTCTTCAAAGTGTATCAGCAAGTTTATGTACGAGATTTTCGCTATTCACCTCCGGGATGGATTTGAGGACAAATAGCGGGTCAGAAAAGAAAGGTTTTATACAAAGTAAATGTAAAAGGACAGTTATGTGTCAGACACACGAATCATATACGAGATGCATCAGACAGACCCGACAACAGGCAACGAGACCTCACGTTAGAAGTATTAGTAGATGCATTTAATCTTCCGCATCCGGAAGCTCGGGACACACATCACGTTGTATTCAATACCATGAGAAGGTCAACTCGACAAAGAAGAGTTCTAAAACCTTTTCAAATAGATCCAAGAAGCAAGAATTATTTTTGGGCGAAAAAATTCCAAACTTCTCCAAGCAGATCCAAAAGACAGTCCTACACTTTTTACGGGGGGAGGTGGTAGGATCCCGCATAAAGTGGTATACCATCATCTCTCACGCATGTTGTGATTAATTATGCGACCTATCATTTCTCACGCATGTTGAGGCCGACTTTATTGTTGTGAAGAAAATGTATAAATACCGTGTGTTGTTTTCCTTGTTGTTGTTGTGATGATTACAATATACGGTCATAGGTCAAACTTTTTCTTTTGATATTTGCGTAGCTCAGTGAATCGGAAGGTAGCTCAGGCAAATAGTCATATCAGGCAGGTGCAGACAAAACAAAGTGACTACGGTTTCCATTCTATTCAGTATCAGTTATAACGGATTGGCGACGAAGTTATTTCAGTTCACTGAAGTTATGACACTTCTTTTCTAAATCTCCAAAATTTTGTTTACGTTTTGAGAAATGGTGTTGTAGTCGTAATGAAAGCAAATGTTTATTGTTTATTTTCGGTCACCGGTATTACGAGTAGATTGAAGGCACTAGTCATTAATTAGATGGTTAACTAAAAGTACCTTCAATAAGTGATTTGTAATCAAACTTGTGTTGATAGTTACCAAAATTTGTAGTTAGCCTTATACTTGTTTCTTTTAGATCAGACATTTTTTACAGGATTGTATAAACATTTTCATTACTTCTGCTTTTATCCAGTTTATCAGATGACAATAACTTGGCTGAACGTATGAATAATGCTTTGAATATTTATTCTAACAATTTAAATGGCTTAGTGATTTTAGTGGATAAGCGAATTAATTCTTTTCGTGGAATCAAAAAATGTAAGTTATTCGTCTATGCAGCTTAAAATAGTATTATTCTTGATTAGAAGTTGAAGTGGTTTGTTATTGCGGAATATCTGTGAGAAACTGTTACTTGATAATTTAAAACAACTCAGCCTTCAAACATTGTGTTATTGCTTCAAATTATGTGGAACGTAGTGGCTAGTGCAGTTTCGCAAGTTCTTTCAAAATGTATTGACTTGACACGCTTTGGTGCACAATAATGTCGCAACTTGGATGTGTTTTTGTGCTTGGCTTCATAGTACCAATTAGCCAATTTAGTTTTAAAACCTTAAGATTTGTATATATTTGGTCACAGTTGAGGACTTGGCTGGTCATGTTCCCACACACAATCACTGACAAATCAGTGTAGAACTCACCGCAGAAGTCCACTAGCTCTGGGTGCCGTATTTCGAGAAAGCATACAGAATAGGTAAAAAAAAATAAACAGAATAATACTTCTGTGGGCACACGTGAATGCAACGGGAAGAATAATTATATGAAGTTTGGCAAAGCTTTCGAAATCTGAAACATAACAGAAAGCGAATAGCGGTAGCTAATTGACTTCAATGATTGATGCCCGTATCTTTTTTTTACTGCTCACAAGTTAGTCTTTGTATGACTATGATCCTTAGGATCTTAGGCAGTGTATTAGCCAAGCTCATCCACCTTTCGTCTGACGGGAATATCTCGTGTCATAAAAAGGTAATCATTTCAGTCCGGAGGATTTAAGGGACATCCATCGCTTCATGTTACTTTCAGGAAGACAGGAAAGGGGGAATCGCATCGTGTTCACCACTGATTATAGTTCTCAGCCATATCTGACAACTTTAACAAATACTAGGAATTTGTGGGCTGTATATATCGCCAGACCGTGACTGTTTCTTATTTACTTTGTCAGGTGTAATCGTTTGCAATTTGCGACTTGTACTTCAAACTTTATGGACTGAAATCATGGAGAGCGAGTAAATATCAATAAATTTGTGGTATGTCGTAACACTACGCTAATTTATTGAGTATTCTATGCACAACAGTGGATGCGTATGACCTAAACAACAGTTGGAATATAACGTCTACATGATTTATGCGCATTATTTGGTTTTCCGTGATCATTGGTTTGTGTGATAGCATTATGATTCAAGTAGTTGTTAAGTATTTTATACACTGAAAAGCAAAAGTTATTTCGCGTACGATAAGAACTTAAGCAGTTGCGTATAAAGTTATCCTTTATTTTTCATATATCTCTAATAAATGATATTGTCGTATAGCATTATTTGATAGATACTGTATATCTGTGTTCTTTATTGAATAAGGTAAATAATTCGTTCAATTGCTAGTCTTATTTTCACATGGCGATATCTTTTAGAAGTATATCTATCTTACTATAAGTAATCCCTTTACTATCATCACGTCAAAAAATTCAAAATCCTAAAGTTTTTTCAATTAAGCTGTTCAGAATTTTGTATTTTATTGACCGATAGGTGAAAAAAATGATGAATATGTCGTTTTTTTGTTAAATACTTGTACTCCTTCTTCTGTAATAGTTTTGGTGGAAGCATGTGAACGATCAACTGAGCTCCATTTCCCGGAACTTGGTTCTCAGTTAGAATCTATTCAGGATACAATCAACCGTTTAGGCTCACGTCAGTCAACAGATCCGCACTGCATGTCCAAAGTGACAAATGCATCAAATGGGACCCCTACCACTGGTATGAAGTACTCTTTTAACTATTATTTATTCTCATTAGATGCTTTTTCCTACATTTGTACTAAAACTAGTCAAATTCATTCTTGTATAGGTATTACTTTGGCTACCTTGTACCTCATTAAGCTCTTTTCAGTGGTGATAAGAAGCAGTACTACAGTATGACTTCGTAGTTATCTTTGATTTTTTTCTTGATTTACAGCTTGATTCCACACTGTAATTTTTAGTACAAGTATGGAATTTTCAGCATGGATATCGGTAGCCCAAATTTTGCAGGCCAACCATAGATATCAGGTGTGCGCCGGCGTGGGCTCGAACCCCGGACCATGTGCATGGTCGGCGAGAGTCCTAACCACTGTGCCATCGACTTTAGATGTCTATGATATCTCAACCGAAGAAATGCAAGTGCTGTGGTACACAAAAAAGTCGCGAAAGTTCAAAATAAGTCTTAGACTACTGTCATAGATTTTACAAGAATCTTAAGAAAAACCCTCGAAAATTCTTCGGATTTTGTAGAAAAAATGTTAGATATATTTTTTGAGTATTATAAGTATGTCAGAGATTCGTGTGAATATGCTATACTTCCATTAAATAATGGCAAATTTATCAGTCTAATCTCATTGCGGATGAGCTAAGACAAACTGTCAGTTATGAACTAGAGTATAGCAAGTTTAGCTAAATGATTGTAATGTTCATGACTGTAGTGGTATTTAATTCCGTTTGGTGTTACATCGAGAACCGAAGTATATTCCTTTGGTAAATAGTAATAGTAAATACTTATCGCTAGTGAAGAAGAACCAAGTTTTAAAGTTCTATGCAGAATACATTGGTTCGGTATGATGCATCATTTGGTCCACTAATCATATTGTATACTCAATCAATAAAATCGATCTCTAGTCAAAAAAAGACATTTTGTTGCGAGCAACTATTATTCAATAAAGTTTTAGTTGCTGTTATTCTTTCCAGCTACTTTATAGTACAGTTTCGGATGTTTGAGTGTATGTATTTGTTAATTTGTCTTATTGTTCAGCGTTCAGACTAGGTTGATCTGTGCATGCCTTGTCGTTAATACTAAAGAAGAAGCACGTTCTGTTATTCATGATTTTATAAGTACCTTTATAAACATACCAATAAACTTATTTGTTTTAATGTAGTAGATATCTTTTCATTCTCCTATCTGTGTGATTCAAAAACGTAAACTTTCAAGTATTGGTTTTGTAGGGATTATGTTTGATTGGTTGGAGGATTTCATTATGGGCTGACATTAGTTAGAGAACCATTGGAAAACCTGGGACTACTGGACAGCTGTTTCGTCCTATTTTTGGACTCTTCATCAATACACACTAGAAGGCCCTAGGTTCGAGTCCCGGTGGGTACTGTCCAATAGTCCCAGGTTTTCCAATGGTTCTCTAACTGATGTCAGCTCATGGTGAAACCGTCCAACAGAAAAATGTAAACCTTTATATATATATGTATACTAAACTGTAAATAAAAGTTCATGGTTAAGTTAGATAACCATTAGTATCTTCTAAAATGCTTCTTACTTTTTTTATAGCAAAATCGAAATATGAACACTTCGAACCAATTCATGGTGATGTTTTAATAACTAAGCATTCAAATTTAATCAGTGGTACTGGTGGTGGCATCAATGTTATCTTTCAAATGGTACTTGATGAAGATTGTGAAAATAACATACGTATTCCGTCTCCATTGCATTGTGCCATCTCAGCTATACTACGTACTTGTTTTGATTATGACATTACCACACTGTCTTTACCACTGTTGTTGGTTCCATCATTATCTGAAGTATGTTTCAGACCATTGTTTAGTTTACTCTTCAGATTATTATTGTTATTATTGTTAATATTATCGACGCGATCAACTGCAACAGATAGTGCTGAAAAATAAGTAGTTTTATAAAATTTCTTTATTTAAACGAAGCTTGGTTGTTTAGTATATATATATATATTCTGTACTGTCAGTCAATCTTTTTAAGGTTGACGGTACCAGTTATTTTACCAGGTTATTCAAATACATTGTACTAAACCTGTTTAAACTTTGGTTGAATTATGAATTCTAATGAGCGAGATCTTTGCGGTAGTCGTATAGACTGAGTTTCTCTTATTTATAAATTTGTATCAACCTTGATGGACAGACTTGATGTTAGAATCATAGTACAAATCCAGGAAGCCTGTTTGACACTAGCTAACATCTGAGAGAAACCTGGCTGCCATCCAACAGATGTGTGCCGCAGACCTATTCACACTGTTTCCCACTTTACAAAATATCTTTCACTCCTTACGTTCTGAGTGGGAGATGGAACTTTAAGCCTTGAAATTTCAGTAACAGTAGTGCTTTTTATATTCGATGGGATTTCTGTCGTAACGCGCCTTCTCTGGGCTTACTGCTGGCTAGTAAACTATGCGGGGTTTAGGAGTGCATCAGTGGTTAAATGCACCTGACCCATGTGCGTGATAGGACCGATAAAACACCGATGCACTTGAATCAGAAGATAAGACAAATTAGGTATTTCTGTTCATAAGTTTCAACTTTCAACTTCACATTAAGTGTAGAAAAATATGGAAATGATTATATCTATGGATTGTCTGAGGGCAGGTTTCATACACCCCAAGCCACTGTTGTATTCAACAGACAGTGGTTAGTAGAAGGTGGGTTAATATGCATAAGTTAATTTATGTAAATTTCGGCCACTGTAGTAGCATGTTATTACGTTTCAATTTGTTTATTAGACATATGACACACTGAATGGAAGATACAATAAGTTGTGTTTGAAACGTTAACCAGGGAATAATACTGTTTCATTGCGTGATATATCGAAAGAACAAATTAATGTAGTACGCATAAGATTTAATGGTTTTCATTTCGTAACTTCTGTTTTTTTTTTCTTCATAGTCTTTTAAAGAGGTTTCATGTCAATGTGCAGTGCTTCAAAGGGTGACATTCAGGTCTGATTTGTTGTTTTGCAAGATTCACTGTTACTTTGTCTCTCTTTTTTGCAGTTATTATAATAGACATCTCAGTATCATCATATTTCTTTGTTGTTTACTTTCAATCAGTGTATTTTATTTGAATATTCTTCCTGTAGAATATGGATAGAACTTGGAGAGCTAAACGAGTAGAAACCGTTTTGAAAGCAGTTAAAGGGGCATTGATGGAACTGATAACCTGGCGTGGTCTTAATTTACGGTCTATACAATTCTTAGCACCTTCAAATACTACCGATGATGAATTAAATGTATTTCGTCAAATAATTTCAAATTCATTCCTACAACCAAATCCATTAATAGCGATTTAAGACTTTTTTGCAGAACTACTCTCGTGAGGATTTTCTCTCTGTATATTTTATCGTCTGATTCTGCTGTAATTTTTGCATTTTATCCGGTCTAATTATTTCGCCTATTTACATCCCCTTTAAATTTATTTTCGTATTATTTTTTTTCTATGGGAAATGATCGAGTAAATAGTTTTATCTGTGAAATGATAACCCAGGTTCCACATGCTACTAACAATTAGTTGGTAAATGTACATGAATGTTTGACGGTACCACTAGAACATATGTGTCATCAAATTGCAAATTATTTTGGATACACGGTTATATGATTGTGATTTTTCCTCTGTATTGAGTACTGCTTTTGTTATTATTGAGGTTAATCGATGTCCACTCATTTTTTTGGTTACATTTTTCAGCACAAAGACAGCCCCTTGTGTTTGAGTTTGCATTCTAAAAGATAAAGTACTTTTTGAATTCAAGTCTTTATTTTTTTATTTTCCCCTGGTTTTCACAATTTTTATAATCTTTAGTAAAAAAAATTTTGATTGTTAAATAATCTTCTTTACATTTGATTAAGTCTCATCAAAGTTAAAGAATAGCGATCCAAGAGGGAACGAGCGCACTAATGATGTACAAATGACCAATCGCTTAAAGCTGGTTAATTTGTGCGAGTGGAAAGAATCGCAGTTAAACATACATAATAATGAAAGGTATCCCGTTTGTTATTCTTGCTTTTTTCCAGCATTTCTTTATGAATATGGCTTTTTTTACTTGCTTTCAATACCTTGTCATGATTGCGTTCTAGAACTCGATTAGTGTGTTCTCTCTCTCAGGTCGTTATTCCTTCGACTCAATGCGAAATTGACAGAGTTAAGAAGGAAGTGTGACGTAAGAAATGAAATTGTGGTAAGTGAGAGCATAAGAGTTAAACATTTTTTCATCAACATTAAGTAAAGAAAAAAGATTGAGAAATTAAGGTCGAGCACGTTGACCTATCATTCTGAAATTACTTGACCACCAGCTTTTGCACAATCTAGACGCCTCAATCAATGCACAATTTAAGTCCTATAAGCAGATTTTGTATCATTCAGTCGTTAAGTAATTCCTGGTCAAAACAATTCCATATTGTCCCTAAGAAAACTTCAAAGGACATCTGTCAATGTGGAACTCTACAGAAGCAGACAAACCCTGATAGATATGCATTAACCACATACATGACTTTCCCTCGTTCGACCTAATGTCACTATTTTGTTTGCTGGGATATGCCTATTCGCCCCGATGACTTTTGTAAAGTACCCTGTACTACTCATTTCAGTCTATGTAAATGCTTATGGATGCCGCTCAAACATTTCAACAAACAGCTGACCAGTTCCACTGCGCTCTCCATCTCATTTCCAGTTTAGACGATAATTTTCCACGTACAAAATATATATCATTAAAATAATGCATTAAAGACATGAAACTATTATGCAGGATACCTTTCTCCCACGTGTGACAAAAATACATCTCAGTTTTAGATTTGTGTATCAGCAGAATAATTTAACCACATTCTACGGATGTAATTACCTAGTTTTTCTAACAATAACCCTAATCTTTCCTAAACCTAACCCTAACGTGAAAATATCTCTAAACTAATCCTATTCTAGCTCAAGCCAACCCTAATGTCTCCCTTATTTGGTTAATTTAACCTGTCCTAAGCCTAAACCTTAACTCTACCTTTCCCATACCTGACCTTAAACTTACCAGATATCCCACTTGTTAGCATAACACTTCATTAAGCATATTTTATTCATGATGACAACATTATTTGCCAGGTTCCACAAAATTGCACAGTGAGCGTCTCAAGGTCTTCAATGTAGTCTCACTCCATTGCTATTTGTTGGTGCTTAAAGTTTGACTTGGCCAAACATAGATTCCTCTGGTCTGTTGCGTCATTCCAATGAATTTAGTTGGATATTCACATACATAGACCAGTTTTTCACTCTAAACTATAGCAGCCCGAAACGAAACTGCCTCCTAACAAATACCTTCCAATATGGTTTTCACAAGCTAGTGTGAACCAATTTGATTTCGTTGTGCTCGCTTCTTGGTTGAGAAGTATGAGTTTCCTCATCTTTGGTAAACTTATGTGTAGATCGTCCAGCCACTCAACTGTCGTATCTTCGGTTGACTCCAAAAGGAGAGGTAGTGGAATTAACTGTATGTTGTTTGTAGTATACTGTGCGTTAAGACCGTGTTACTGCTGTGATCGGAGTTGATCCTTTCACCAGTAAGTCCCCCGGTGTTGTCGACAAAAGAAGAGATAATGACAATAGACATAATAAGTGTAGGTTATGCAGATAAAAAAGAATATGTAAGAACATATAGATAATGAAATTTGGAGTTGATATATATATATAATATCAATAATAATAATAGTGTAAGGGACATAATGTTTGGATTAGTCAAGACAAGAGGGAATGTGACGAAGTGAAACGATGAGTTTAGAGGCCTAAACACTAGCAGCGTATGAGATTTTAGGGGGCGAGGCCGTTAGGATGCAGTCCTTCGCCCAAAGCCGTAGCTACACCTGCCGTTAAGAAGTTCCTGTGAGAAGAAATGGGTGTGTGCCCTCTGGTGGGCTATTTCTCGGGGATTTACACGAGGAAGCCCATACCTACTTAATGGCAGAACACTTCTGTTTGGGCGGTAATCAAGTCCCCTACAAGCTGACGGTAGCTAAGTGTGAAGATACCAAATTTCCCTAGCCGTTCGTCGTATGTTTTATTTCGGTGACCCATCATTCTTTTTGTCGCCCGTCTTGAGACTCTTTCCAAAAGGCTTGCATCTCTTCTAATCTATGATGGTACAATGATATTGTGCACCTCAAGGTGTGGTCTGAGGTAAGTTTTGTACAACCTTAAACAGAACTCCGGATTAAGTGCACCTAACTACTGCCTATGTGTAAAGTGTATGACCGTATATGCCCTCACAAAATCCCCCTTGTAATTCTGATATATATATATATATATATCCATATAATATGTGTGTTTGTTTGACAGTCTGATCTTGGTGACATGTATCCATATAAATTGTGTGCTTCTTTGACAGTCTGATATATTTTGCCATGTATATATGGATCGATATTCCATTATAATTAGCCAACCATGTTAAGACTGTCTATTGATTTGTTTATTTTGAATATTCGCTCACACACTTGTTCGGACATTCATATATATTTTTGCTCTCACACTCTTGTGGGACATTGATTCTCCTTGGGTGTGAAAAATAGAATTATCATCGCAAACCTAGTGGTCTTCTGATTTCCGTCTTTCTTGCGTCAGGACTATTAAATTCTCGACCAGTACATAACAATAATTTGGCGACGAGTACACAATAAATTCACGCTTGCATCGATTTTTTCCTTTAGAATTAAACCTAAATCACGCTCCCCCGTTGTGCAGGAAAAGATTTCTCTTCACAGCGTGTAACTTGCATTCTGCAGCCTACAAGTTTGTAGCCTCACTACTTTGCACTTCTTCAGGCTGAAAGTGATACCACTTGCCACTGCTTAACTTCCCAGAATCTTTAGATTTACCGGCAGCCTATCTGAGTCTTCCGAACACTTCAATGCTCTCTCAATCTTTACTTCGTCAGCATATAGAAGAACCGGGCAGCTTAGACGGCATATCAAGCCATTGATAAAAACCAAGAAAATCAGTGGCCCTAGGGTAGTACTGAGACACTCCTGATTACGAGCTGTGCCACGAAAATCTAACTCGATTGACCTTAATGCAGAATTTTCGCCCATCTAGATAGTCCTTCAACCATGATAGAAGCGGCTCACCTATACCTGCCAGACTTATTTCGTGTAGGAGATCATGGTGGACTATGTCAATTATCTTCTCAAAGTCGAGGAGGACCATACGGATCGGGATATTCATATCCCAACACAATGTCCAATCGTCCCAAGCTAGGTTTGCTAGACAGGATCTGCCTTTCCTGAAAACATGTCGTCCTGCATGGAGTTTATTAGTCATATCGAGGTGCTCCGTGATGTGACCATCGATAATACTTTCCAGTACTTTTGAAACCACTGGGAGTAGCGCTACTAGTCTAAAACTGGTGGCATTTCACCTGTCTGAACCCTTGAAAATAAAAGAAAGGATGGCTCTGTCCCACTCCCTTGAAAGTTTTCCTGAATCCATCGAGTGTTGGAACATTCTCATAAAGGTCTACAGAGAGCTTCAGCACTCCTTTTCAGAACAGATGGCTTGATGTTACAATCTGGGATTTTTCCAGATGTGAGCATCTGTACCATCCCTAATACCTTTCCGAGGTTTACATGGATATTATTCACTGTGTTTATCTCCGGTGATGAAGTAGTGTCGCGATTTTGGTCCGTGCCAGTAATTCCCCATTTTCAGTTTAACTTTTTGGCAAAGGCTAAACTGAGGGTTTCAGACATTTCCAGACTAGTGAAGTATTGACCGTTTGGATCCACTAAGGCCCATTTCCCCTGGTTCTTTGGTTTTCTTTCCGACTTAAATCGATACAAGCGTTTGGAGTTCGCTAGGAGTGTTTTGGAGAGTTTAGCCTGAAATTACTTCCTATCACCCCTGACTCACGTTAAACCGGTTTCTGAGTTCCAGGTATGCGTTGTGGTCGGTCTGACCTTTGGATACTCGCCACGTATACCAAGCCTTCTGCTTTGCTTGCAGAATAAGTTGCGTACTTCTCTTCAGCCATGGGACATTTTCCTCGACTGTGTTGTGACTAGAAAATGGTGTATGAGGTCGCTGTGTGAACAACCCACTTTGCCACTTCTCAGTGTTTATCCACAGATAACTCATCGCATTCTCAGTGCCATTCTGCATCGTATAGAAGCCTTCGCATTCCAGCACAATCCAATCCACAGTGGGCTCTCATAGAGAACAAGTCAAACTCAATGACTGTGTGGTCAGTAATTCCTGGGGGTCATGATCTGGACATTTTCGACAAGTAGTTAGTCACTGTTTAGAATATAATCTAGTTTCGATGACTTT